TTTTTTAGTTTCTGAATAATGAAAATTATTTAAACTAGGTAGCATAAAAACAGTGTTTGTAATTTTTTCTTGAACACCATATCAAGCCTAGTGGTTCAAAGGATCGACTACTGATTTTTGCTGCCTATTAACTCGATTTATCTTGTTATGCTTATGCTTTCTCTAAAAAAATCAAGCTATAAAATTAGAAATGCTTAAAATTGTGGTTTATAGTGTATATCATGTCTTATTAGATGTTTAAGCTGTGGAAATTCGTTCGGTTATTTTTTTGTAGCTATGGTGGATCACTTGTCAATTTTTGTTATGTGTCTATCCGTTCATGATATCAAAGTTGGACTATTGAAGAGAGCAACTCAACTTCTCAAACTTATGATTAACGTTTCTAATTGTGGTTGGCGTGATCACACTGGAAAAAAAATAAGAATCTTCGAAAGATATATACTTTGAATGAAAAGTTAGGGATCGCTTGGAGTTACAATCAATATATAATTCGAGTGCAATATTTTAAGAAACAATATACAAAGTACTATGAGCTTATGGGGTATAACTCTGGCTTTAGATGGGCTCCCGCAACAAAGTTCTTCATTGCACATAATTATTGCCTCGTGTATCGCACGGGTTGCCTCTCGTATTGAAAATAGTGTAATTGAGTCAAAGTTGAGTTATATTTTGTGTGTGAATTTAGTTTATTTATATACAAACACACCCTTAACGTGTCATTTTGTGGCTTGAATACGTGACGAAAATTGTTTTTATTTTCATCATTTTACAATTTATAAAATTGGAATATTTTTAAAACACTCAGACCATAGTTATGGGACTATTTTCATACAATGAAATTTTACATTTTTTAATTATAATTATGAGACGTTAGAATTTTTTCGCGAAAAAAAAAACCCAAACTCGTCGGCATCAATTCCTCGCAAAAAACCTCTTGTCGGCGCTCTTCTCAGCTTCCTCCTTCCTGCTTCGAGTCGGCGGCGGTAGGCTGGCGTCCTGACGGGTCCTCTCCTGGCGTGGCTTCTCTCTGTTTTCGGTGGTCATGGTAGTGGGTTGGGGGGCTCGACGCGTCGCTGGTTCTTCCTCGGCCTCCAGCTTCGAGCGTTGTTTTAGCAGCGTCTTAGGACCGGTGTCTCGCTGAAAGGTTTTTCCTCTGCCTGGCCGATTTCTGGTGTTGGGATCGGTGGGTTTCACAGGCAGCGGCAGTGTTGGCCTCATATGGGGTGGGGGTTGTGGTCATCGATGGATTTATGGTGAGGATTGATGTGAGCACTCTGAATTTTTTCTGATGGTGGCAGCCGTTGGAGGAGTATGTGGTCTTTGGGCGGGTTCTGGTTAGCCGACTTCGGTCTGGAGTTTCTGTTTCGTGTCCGATGTCACGGCTATAGGATCTGAGTTTGCCGGTTTGCCAGTGGGGAGGGAATATATTAATAGTTCTTGTGTTAGTGTATTCTAGTATTATTAGTTCTTGTGTTAGTGTTTTTTGTGTTTTTGTGCGTGGCGTTTATTCTCCTTTTGATTATTGTATTCCCCTAGGGGTGAGCAAAACCGAGTTGAAACCGAAAAATCGCACCGAACCGAGCTATTCGGTGCAGTTCGGTGCGGTTTTTGGTAAGTTCGGTTATCTGTACAATTTGAGTTTTGAAAAACCGCAAGTATTTCGGTGCGGTTCGATTTTCTGTCCGAATGGTGCAGTTTTAACTGAACCGCACCGAATGTCATAAAATGTCATTTTTTTTTTTATTTTTTAATAAAATATCACCTTAATTTTTATAATTTTACTTGCATAACATTAATTGGTGGTTATATTTTTTTAATTTCCGTTAACCGAAAAACTGAACCGTGGTGCGGTTCGGTTTTCCCTTCTATAACGGTGCGAATCGGTGAAAAAAATTTTAAAATTTTGTTTTCTGCTTTTTTCGGTGCAGTGCGGTTTTTGACCGAATCGCACCGATGCTCACCTCTATATTCTCCTGTTGGGAGTTGTATTTTTGGGAGCTCGTAGGTGCGTTGTGCGTGTTCGACTAGGTGGCCTCTCGGGTTGTCCTCCCACGTGTTTCAACTGTGTAGCTACTTATTCCGACTGTCACAAGTTGTAATTCGTTTGCAATTATGTGTTCTATTTATGTAATAATT